ATTAAAGACGAAGTACGCAGGTTATAGACACGAAAAGCCCTACTTGTGGTTGAATACCCTAAAAAAATACCTTCATCACTTCAGGAGTCAAATTTGCTCAAATGCTTTCTATCTTTGAAAATGTAACATTTACTCCCAAAAGTTTTGAAGTATTTTACATTAGGTTTCAATTCCTTCCATAATTCATATGGAGTTTGTAAAGTGCCGGGCCTTAAATACACGCAATTTATGACATAAACAGCAGTATTTAGGGTTTCAGTCCAAAACTTTGGAGGAAGTTTCTTACTAAGGAGAGGAGCATGACCCTCGCTATCTCTTGAACAACCCTGTTCTTCCCCTCTATCATTCCATTTTGTTGCGGAGTAATAGGTGCAGAAAATTCATGCTTAATTCCATGCATATCACAAAAATCTAAAAACGAACTATTTTTAAACTCACGACCATGATTTGTTCGGATTCTTATGATACGCCCAATGGAAACACCCTATTCATTTTGAATTTTAAGGACTAAGGCCTGGAAAGCATCAAACGTATCAGATGTTTCCCTTAAAAAATTTACCCACGAAAAACGAGTAAAATCATCAACAGTTAAAAAAAATGTATCTTTTATCTCAAATGCTTTCAGTGCGAGTAGGTCACATTAAGTCTATGTGAACCAATTCAAGAGGACATTTGGTTGTAAAGCTGTTCACCTTTTTATGAGGGGCACGGGTTTGTTTCCCAAATTGACATGGTCCACACACATGATTTAGATTCTTACCCAGTTGAGGTACTCCTCTCATAAGCTCTTTGTTGCCTATCTTAGTTAGGTCTTTGAAATTCATATGACCTAATCTTTGATGCCACAAATCAATGTTACTTATGATGGCTAAGTGACAAGTGAGATCATTAGTAACAATCCCATAGCAGTTATCAGATATGCGAACCCCATGCAAGACAGTATTTCTTTTTTTATCCAAAATTTCACATTTATTTTTTGAAAACAATACTTCATGTGGGAATCACACATTTGACTGATGCTCAAAAGATTTGCTTTAAGTCCATTAACAAGTAAAGCATTTTCAAGCTTGGGAAGACCAGCAACACTTATAAATCCCTTACCAATGACTCTAGAAGTGCCACAATCTCCAAAGGTAACAATTCCACCTTCATATTTTTCAAGAGAGGTGAAGTAGGATTTGTCACTTGACATGTGATGAGAGCACCCACTATCCAAATACCACATGTGTGAGTCACGTGCTTTTAGAGCAGTGTGAACAACTAAACAAGTCAAATAATCTTTTTCCACCCAAATTTTTTTGGTCTTAACAAAATCAGGTCTGGTGGTCTTGGTAAATGTCTTGGTATTGTGAATACTCTCATGAATCTTGATATTACGCCTAGACATGTAAGGTTGTCTCCTAACAAAAAAAGTATTCGAATTTCTACCATTTTGAGACACCTTACAAAATAATTCAAAGCAATAAGGACGAATGTGGCCATACCTACCACAATGATGACAAATAAAGACAGGTTTTACCTCTTTTTTGTTGATCTTACCCCCATTAGGTAGATGAAGAGAGGAATCACCCTGGTGTACCTTCAGCTTTCCCTTTGCTTGAGTTTTCAGGTCATGTGATGTAGAGGCCTGTCCCTTGTGAGCTGTTGCATTATCATAGCCTAGCACACTTTTGTCACAACCCATTTGTTGAGACCCGAGGATGTCTTCTAATGATTTTGAACCTTTGTTCCACACGGCAATTGTGGCTCTAGCAATTCGGAGTTCTTTATCTTTATAACAAACCATCTCTTCCAATGTAGCTTGTGACATCTCAAGGCTTTCAAGCTTCTCTTTATATGTGGAATACACTTTCAGGAGTTCATTCCTTTCAGTTTCACAGGATATAAGTTTCTCACATAGGTCTTGCCTATCACTAGAGATCTTATCCACCCAAAAATCACTAGAGATCTTGACGACATTCTGCTTTGCTATTACAAGTTCTCCTTTTAGCTTGACATTCTCACTTTCACATGCTTTGAGCTTGAGAGTGAGTTTGTCATTGATTTTGGACAAATACAAAGATTCCTCGTAAAGCTTTTCGTAAGCTTGTTGTAGTTCATCACCATTAATCTCATCATTGTCTTTTGATGTTTCATCATCTTCTTTTTGCTCCTTGACCTTGTCCAGTCGAGCAACTAAGGCAGGAAATATAGTAAATGGTGGTGAAGATGAATCTGCACTTTCATGAAATTGGCTCAGAATGTCCTATGTAACTTTAGCCTTTGTGCAGTGAGCAACCCGTTGCTGTTCTTCATCAGAAATTGCTCCACGAATAGTAATCAGGACTCTCTGATTGCTCGGATTGTTAGCACTTTCAACATCCTCTTCAATGGCTTGCCAGCCTTCTGGGTCAAAAGCTCTCAGAAATGCCCTCATTCTGATCTTCCAATACAAGTAATTACTCCCATCAAAGGTGGGGGCATGATGCAGATTTTGACCACGAGCACATTCCAATGGCTTCGGAAGAGGTTGTGTGAAAGTGGACCAAAATGCCATGAAAGCACTATCCCCATCTTCACCAGATTCAGTTTCTTCGGGTTCTTGCTCTGACCCGCTTTCATCATCCCAAGTTACTGTGTAGACTTTCTTCTGATTGTTTTTCGAAGGACATTCAAGGGCAATATGACCAAACCCTTGACATTCATAACACTTGACCCCTTACCCCTTTACAATCTTCTTTTCAGTTTTTGGAGCAAGTTTTGGTGGAAAAGTTTTGGGTTTATCATTACTCTTGTCTTTTGAAATAGGGTCTCTGAAATTAGGCTTCTTTTTCTTTAATTTTTTTTTGAACTGTTTAGTAAACATAGCTGTCATCTCAGACTCTAGATCAAACTCGGTCTCAGGAGTTTTTGCAGTCTCATAAGCACTTGTGAAAGCCACACCATCTTTTTGTTTTTTCTTAGAAATCTGGTGGGCTTCATAAGTCTGCAGGTTTCCAACCAACTGATTAAGCTTGAGGGTATCAACATTCTGAGCCTCCTCAATGGCTGTCACTTTTGATTGGAACCTCTCGGGTAATGACCTCAAAAATTTTCCAACAACTTTAGCTTCATGGATTTTTTCACTGAGTGTGAACCAGGAATTCACGATGTCACTAAGTTTAGCATAGAAATCATCAAACGTCTCATCATCACGCATAAAAAGGGTTTCAAAGGCAGATGTGAGACGTTGAAGTTTTGACCTTTTGACAGAAGTAGTAGCTTCGTGAATCGTTTCAAGAATGTCCCAAGCCTCTTTTGCTACCTCACACGTGCAGATACGACGAAACTCTTCAGGTGTGACGGAGCAAAAAAGGGAATTGAGAGCCTTACTATTCCAACTCGAGTTTTGATAATCGGTTGTGTCCCATTTATTAAGGGGTTTGGGAATCTCAATACCATCAATGGTGACAGTAGGTTCACTCCACCCATAGATCACACAGTGCCAAACTTTCTCATCGATGGATTTTAAAAATGCTCTCATACGAGCTTTCCAATAAGAATAGTTTGTACCATCGAGTAACGGAGGTCTATGGGTTGAGTTACCTTCACGAATTGAATCCATATCACCAATCACACAAAATTACACTCCTATAGTTTTGATAAAAACAAATAGTGACATGCTCTGATACCAATTGAAAATTTTAAGTGATTCGTGATTAGATAAAGATTTAATTCCACCAATTCCCAATTATTCAAAACACACAATCTAAATCAACAAGCACTTACGAAAGTGGTTTAGATTGTTGTTTCGAAAAACAATAAATCAACGCAAATGATTTTTACGTGGAAAAACCACAATTGAAGCACCTCCAATTGTGATAAAAAAAACCACGGGCGAAACGCCACTAATCAATCCACTACTGAAGAAAGAAAAATTACAAAGATAACCAACAAATTACCAACACATCAAATTTGTCTTCAAATCTTCTGTAACTCTTTCACCATAGCCTTCGTCTCGGAATCGATCAGTACGAAGTTGAATCCACAACTTCTAATGTCAAATCAATGACCACGCATAGTATCAAACTCCTTTGATGCTCCACGTTTGAATCTCTGGAATCCACCGAAGAAGAACTCTCTTTAATATGAAGAAACAAACTCCTTGATGTATGTATCTCAGATCATTGGTTTAAAACCCACTCAATAATATCAAGGAAAACTAGAAAACTACTCTCAAAGAAAACCTTAGAAAACCTTAAAGTGGATCTCCAAAAACCTAATCCTAGTTTAGGATTAAAAAAATCGACACAAACGATTTTTACGTGGAAAAACCACAATTGAAGCACCTCCAATTGTGATAAAAAAAACCATGGGCGAAACGCCACTAATCAATCCACTACTGAAAAAAGAAAGATTACAAAGATAACCAACAAATTACCAACACATCAAATTTGTCTTCAAATATTCTGTAACTCTTTCATCACAGCCTTCGTCTCGGAATCGATCAGTACAAAGTTGAATCCACAACTTCTAATGTCGAATCAATGACCACGCATAGTATCAAACTCCTTTGATGCTCCACGTTTGAATCTCTGGAATCCACCGAAGAAGAACTCTCTTTAATATGAAGAAACAAACTCCTTGATGTATGTATCTCAGATCATTGGTTTAAAACCCACTCAATAATATCAAGGGAAACTAGAAAACTGCTCTCAAAGAAAAACCTTAAAGTAGATCTCCAAAAACCTAATCCTAGTTTAGGATTAAAATAGATACTTATAGAAATCTGGGATTGTGAAGCTCGCTCGAGCGAAGACTCTCTCACTCGAGCGAGGAGCTTATCTCGCGTGATTTCCACAAGTGGCTTTGCTCGAGCCACGCAACCTGCGCTCGAGTGTACATTCATCACTCTCAAGTTTTTTACCAGACGCACTCTTCGCTCGAGCGAGCACTCCTTGGCTAGAGCGAGGAACAAAAAACAGAATGGAAAAATACAACTCAACAACTCAAGTTTGTTCGTGGGATTGGCAAGACTAAGGGACCTAATAAAAATCATAGCATAACATCCACAACTCGGAGGGAAGTACACAATACATAACATTCATAAAAAACTGAAGTTCAATTACTTATTGCACAAATGAAAAAAAAAAATGACACGACATAATAGACACAAGGGTGAGTTTGAACCCGAACTTCATAGTATTTATTTTGTAATTTTTCTTCTTCTTTTTTTTTTTTAATTTTTTGGCAGGTAAAATAGAATGAAAAACAATCATATAAGACACTGTTTGCGGGTGAACGGACACGGCCTGCAAATGACCTCTAAAGGCTTCAACTTTGGCATGCTGAAGCCAAAATTCTCAGTCATATCCACCTCCTCTTCATCAACTCTGTTCCATTCAAATGACTGAATCAAGGCTCCTAGTGTCAGCCCAACCATCCTATTTGCCAAGTTAGCTCCAGGACATCCACGTCTTCCACAACCAAATGGGATCAACTTATACCCGTCTCCACTATTCTCTTCTTCAAATCTTTCTGGCATGAACTTCGTTGGATTTTCCCATAGCTTGGGATCCCTATGAATAGCCAATACATTTACCATTAACATCGTGCCTTGTGGGACATCATAACCTCCTACAGTACAATCTTCAGAAGCCTCATGTGGGACTAGAATTGGGGCTGGTGAATATAATCGAAGTGTTTCCTTAACTACATTGCATAGATAATTTAGCTTGGGCAAGTCTTGTTCATCTAAGAGGTAGTTTTGTCCAACGTGAGCCTCTATCTCTGCTCTAACCTTTGTCATTGCATTTGGATGGTTGAGAAGTAGGGACATTGCCCATTCCATGGCTGTTGATGAAGTTTCAGTCCCAGCAATTAGTAATATCTGTCACCCCAGGTAGACAAGCACATTAATTACCCAAAAGATGCAACATCAACCAAAAAACAAATAATTGTGATAAACATAAGAAAGTATGCCACAAAACACTTATGAGGTGGGCCTGCACAGTTGCAGTCTATAAGCGTTCTGTGTCACTTATGTGATATAATTCTCATGTCCCAAATAAAACCTAGAAAAGAAAATGCATAGAAGAGATTAGGAGATCTTCAGATTACTAAACAAAAATATGATAAACATAAGAAATTCATAATCGTAAGGTTGTAATAATGATTATGACCTGTTATGTTTTGTATATGCACAAATTGTTGGGTCTTGTGAACCCGATAAGTACTATTCATTGGCCTTGGGTGCAATAAGGGGTTTAGGAGGCCTCCCCCAAGGGGAGGGGGGTCCGGCAGGAGGGAAGAGAGTTGTTTTATGGGAAAAATACAAATCAGTGATAGTTTGAAAAAATAATTACAAATTCACGAAAATGTCAAAATTTTAATTATTAATATTTATAAAATTTACCATTCATTTGTTTTTTTTTTTTTTATAAAAAAAATCATTAATGTTATATTCAAATTCAAAAAAAAAGCATACTCAAATTCAGAACAGGCCATTAAGGCAGGCAGGCATAAAAAAATAAAAAAAATACATGAAGCAATATACTATTAATTCCAATAAAAATCCATATGATAATGATCATCTTACCAATATAATCCCATTTATAATATTGTTGGTGTAGAACTCTGGTTCTGCTTCTTGCAAAGAAAGCAGACTATCAATCAGTGTCTTCTTCATTTTTGTTGATGCATCCATTCTTCGACGTTCATCGACTAGGTTCTGCAAAAACTTGTCCATTTTCTCTGCCATGGCTACCATTTTCCTCCCAGTCCCAAACAAATCTACCTTCTGCAACACCGGAAAAAGGTCTGATGGATCCGATGTTTTTGCAAATTCTAATTGCTCTCTCACCAATTGCCGAAAGAGCTTGGCCTCCTCAACATCCTCTACACTTTCTCCAAAGAACCTCTTTCCCATGATCATCATGGTCATAACATTAAATGAGATCTCAAAAAACTTGGATTTCATGTCCACTTTACTACACCCACCACCACAATTCTTCATGAGTTGATTCACGAAAAACTTCACTTCCTTGCCTCGTATACAGGATGTTCTCTCTAATTGAACAGTTGAGAAAATCTCCAAGGTTGTAATACGCCTGATATTAGGGTGTGCACGGATCAGGTTGGTTAAGGTCAACTCATAATTGAAGGAAATAACAGGGGTTTCATATTTTTACCAAATCAAACTAACCCAATATAACTTGGGTCGGTTTCGGTTAGAACTGTGGTTCCCTCACCGGAAAAATAAAAGTGAATCATTTCTTTATAAATCATTGCCTCAAATTCAATATGACATAATTAGAAATTTCTCAAAATCAATAATAAATCAATACAATAAAGAAGCTTTAGGTTCAGGTCTCGGATTAATTCAAATTAGTCTATGCTTAACCCGGGAATAAAACCTACCCAATTCATTATTTTTAAATTCAAAATCGAACCAATATATTGATAAAACCCAATCAGCCTAATAGATAAAAAGTCAAGTTGATAGAATGAATTTTCTGAATTCCTTACCTGAGATTGCGCCAAAGATCACCATAAGGGGCTGCAGCGATGGTGGTGCTGTTGTAGGAGAGGTGTTTTGAGTGGAGGCTAAGTGGCCGGTTGGCGAAGATGACATCGTTTTTTGTGAAACATTCTTCGACGGCTGAAGGAGTGTTGACAACGAGGACATTTCTGGGTCCGAACCGGAGGAGGATGATTGGGCCATACTTATCTGAAAAAGCTTGAAAAGTTTGGTACAGTGGCTCTTTTAGTAGATGGAGATGGCCCAGGATGGGAAGCCCAGGAGGACTTGGGGGTAGATTCTTGTAAATCTTTTGTTTTCCTAAGAAGAGCTTGAAGAAGAGTAGGAGGAGAGAGAAAATGAGGAGAGAAATGGTGTACCAGTTGGCTTCCACCATACTGTATTTTCAAAAGTATAGCCTTTGATGTCAAAGTAGAGAAAAAAAAATTGGGCTTATTGTTTGAGTAATGGAAGACTATAGTACTCCTCTTGTGTTGTTGATATGTACATATGCAAAGAATCAACTTGGCCAAGGTGTCGAAGCAACAAACAAATAGCATTGACAAGAATAATATCTTAATATAGATGAGTTTGACTGAGTAAAATATTCTATAGTAATATCTCAATATAGATGAAGAAAATGATAAAAAGCAAGATAATTTTAACAATATTGACCCGGACTCTCTTTTTCCCACACTCCCTTGACCCCCTCTCAACATAATTGGTCATTTTTTTTTTTTTCAATCACCACCCGCCACATGTGTGGAGTGATGGGGGTGGTGATTGGAGGGGGTCTCAATCATGACCCAAAGAAAAATGATCAAATATATATTTTATACAATACTTACAAAAATGTGAGACTCACATCACATGGTGCCTCAGTTATATATAATTTTTTATAATATTTTTGAGGTCTTTAACATTTTATATTTCACCATTTTAGGAAGCATTCAAACTATAAAAGAAACCGGCACAATAAAACATTAAAATTATAACAAATAAAGAATCTTTTGAGCAAGAGAGAGCAACTCTCTCTAGGTGATTTCAGGCGGTCCTCCGGCAATGTTTCGACGATATTTCGGCAACCCACTTTATACTTCTAAAGTGTAGATCTATACTCTTAAAGTATTGACTTACAGTTTTCGTGCATAGATCTAGACTTTTTATGTCTGAAATAAGAGTTTTGAGAGTTTTTTCCTCCGATTTCGACATAGATTTTTGGATTTTCGACACTCACAATAGTTCTCCCATCTTTCAAACCTTCTCACATACCATTGTGAGTGTACTTCCTTCTCAACTCTAGTTTCTGGCAGTGTTTGATATCCGACGAAGGCAGTGGTAGAGTTGGGCAGCAACGACGGAGATGGTGGGCTTTCAAACAGATCTTACTTTTTAGATTACATCTTTGAGAAAATCGGTGATTTTTCCTGACTCATAGCAATTTGTTTGGCGGATTTTTTATTTTTTATTTTATTTTTGATTTTTTTTTGGTTGTGATGGCCCTTTGGAGTCTTATTTATATAACGTTGTTGTTTGTTAATATAATTTCACATGTTCTTAAAAAATTAAAAAAATTAAAAAAAAAAAAAAATCTCTCAAACCATCTCTGATTGATAAAGCCATTCAAAACTTCTATTTGACTTTCTATTTTCTGAATTCAATGCATTAGTGGATGACCACAAAACTCCACCAATGAAAGGCTTTTTCCTATTTTGCCCAATAATCTCTCAACTCAAGTGTTAGATATTACAGTCATATAGATTGCAACGTGCAACCAAATCCAAAAAAGCCTTTAGAAGTTGCTAGAAAATGATGTGTGTGTATTGGCTAGATTCATTCGGAATGTAAGCATGGAGCAGTACATTCTAATTTACATCACACTAGTAACTTTTTTTGAGGGAGGGTAAATTACACGTAATATAGATTTCCAAAAAAATTACCCAACTTTTTTGATGTTTAAAATCAAATTACAAATTACCCCTTACGTTCGTTGATAGTTAAGTCAACTAGCAATTTTTGTTAATGTCAAGCTGTTAATGTTTTATAAATGCCAATTTACCTTTTCTTTATTTCCCTCCTCTTACTGCATTTTCTTCTCTCTTCATATAAACAACAGCCAGTCATCACTCCCTCCTTGCTCCCCTATCCTTCACATCACCACCTCACAAATCAAAGAAGGCTTGTGTTGAGAAAATTAATTCTTTGAATCAATTAACCAAACATGCAATGTGCATAAGGTTTTTAGTAAAACAACCGGTGCAAAACAACTAGTGCAAAATCCCAAAATGAAATGGTGAAATAAACACCTAGCCAACAATGCGTAGGCACCCACAACCAAGGTTTCAAAAAGCGGTGTTACGTAACGATTACAATGGTAAGCGCTACTCATTATACCTACTTTTGCAGTGTGATAGAAATTCACATGTGTAACGGTTGTTTCAGTATTACGTAACGGCCCGTTACACACCGTTACTATATTCTGAATGACTTCCTTCTTTTAAAAAAAAAAATTCTTACAAAAAAAAAAATAAATAAATAAATACTTAAGTGATCCAAGCCTAAATAAAAAATATTGTATGAATTTTTTTTCTTTATAATTTATTTTTATTTTTTATTTTATTATATTAGCATATAAAATATAAAATATATAAACAGTAATTTTATTTATTTTTATAATTATTTTATTTAATATTTAATTGTAAATAGTTTTATTTTGTTACTATAATATGTTGTCTAAAAAATATTTTTTTTTTAAAAAAATCAATAGCTCAAAAATAATTTTTACTTATGGCATAATTTTTATTTTAGTGGTGCTACACGCAGTAATTGGTATACCAATTAGTATACCAACATATGTTATGACATTATCATTTTAAAATTATGACCATATCCATTATACAAACTACAAAGACCTAAAACTTCTAAAAGTATGTCATATCATCTGTTAGTAAACTAATTGGTATACTAATTGGTGCATATAGTATTATTATTTTTATTTTTATAATCATTTTATTTAATAGTTAATTGTAAATAATTTTATTTGTTTGGGATGTCTTAAATAAGTGCATTTTTTGTCTTTTTGGACTAAAAAGTTGAGAAAAAAATAACGGATGTTTGGGTTAACGTTTTGACTTTTTTATGGAAAAATGTGTATTAAAAAATTATATGAAGAAGTGTGTAGGAGAATATTAGAGATGTGTGTTGTACAGCCGTACAATCTGCACAGCCGAATTGACGGTAAGAAATTATTGGCTACTTTTCGGGCACTCCACTGGAAGGTTATGTTCGGCCCGTGGGGGCCATCACGGGTACCATTTTTATCGATTTCCCCAAATTGATTACTTGACCTAAGGTACTGCTATAGACTTGAAGAGTTTGCATCATCGTTAAATACTCGGTATTGCAAGCTTTGAACAAAAACAGAACATCATCTGCAAAGAGCAAATACGCCAGAGTAGCGCATGTTCGTCTCATCTTGATGCCTGAAATGTCCCCATTACCAATGCCTTTGTCTATCAATTTAGATAAAATTTCTGCCACTAACAGAAACAAGTAGGGTGATAGGGGATCTCTTTGCCGAAGGCCGCACAAAGGGATGAAAAAGGCCCTTTTCTCAACCTTGAGCCTTTAAAGCCAAAGCAGTGCAGTACACCTCAATCTAGACTATCTGCTATCCACATCAACCCACTTTATTAAATGAAAACTGCCATCAGTTAATTTTATAAAATTGAATATTGATGGCTCATCCCGAGGTAATCTAGGTTTTGCAGAGATAGGAAGAGTATTTGGTGACCATCTGTTAGCAAAAATCTGGTTTGGGCCAAATCGACAGATGAGATTCGATAGAAATCCTAGAATTTTGCAAACAACAACAAATCAAGCAATTGTAGTTTGAATCTTGACAAATTCAAGGATTTCTTTGGAGGTTGTAATGTTAAGAAACAAATGTGAATAAAATGAAAATTGATTGAAGAACAAGTAAACTTTCCACTTAATAACAAGAATTAAATTACAAGCTCAATGTACATGACAATCGACAGAGGGGAACTTGGCCACATAGGCTGAATTCTACACACACTACTCCTAAATATAGAAGCTATTGCTAACTAAGTTAAATTACTCCTAATTCCATATGAGTTGTGTGTTTGATCGTCCTTCTTTTCTTCGAAATTCCAACCTTTATGTTGCTGGCTTTGTTGCTTATCTGCTGCCACGTGTCCCATCATGGAGCAAATTCCCTTCACTTCTTGCATAACTACCCATGATCTTCACAACTGCTGGTAACTGCTCCTCTGCTGTAGCACTCATTTTCTCTGCCAATAAACCACGTATCCTATATCATCTGCGTGCCTTATCTCATAACTTGACACCTGGGCCACGTTTGGCCCCATCTTATTGTATTATCAGAGGAATCGATAGAAGAAAACTACGTCTGCCATATCTGTTCCTTTGATTGCGTTACTTAGCTCTACATTCTATGGTACACCTCCCACTGGAAACTTAAGATTTCACCTCTAGTATTCCTTGGATCAACTCTCTGTATTTATTGTAGCTATTCGACAGAGATCATAAATTTTAGTGCCAACACCATCAGGCCAAATTTTTGGAAACTTTTGCTTGCCCTATTGGTTGTACTTCTAATAATATGGCTATGGGGTTTCGATCTATCATCTTTCACAAATCTTGGAGAGCAAAGCAAGAACCTCACTTTGTACGGTGGAGATCGACTTTCTACAACTTTTGATTTCTAGGGTTTCTTCTCTCACCTTCTGCAAAACTTGAGGTAAGGACTCCTTTGAGTTATATATACATGTTTTGCAAGGATGATGTGTTTTAGGGGTTTTCTTGAAGTTATTATATTGCCTTTGATTTTGTGGTTCAAAATGTAGAGATTTCAAAAGTGGGTTTAAATCTCAACTTTTTAATCCTTGAGGGTTTCGTTTTCATTAATTTAAAAAAGATGATTTTGATGAGATTTCACCAAGGAAATGGGGAGATGTTTGGTTTTTGATAAAGAAACCTAGAAATTTGGGGGTTTTGGAACATGTGGGAAAAACCTATAGGTTTCCTCCTTTTCTTGTGTTAAAGGAATGAATGAGTGTAGATTTCATAATATGGTTTGCAAAAATGGCAATCTTCTTGATATGTGAGGGTTGAGAGTTTATTTTAAAATCATTGTTAAATGCATGAACATGTATGGTTGTGGGATGACAAATTGTTGAGTACCATAGATTGTGAGAATTGTAAATCTTGGAAATTGACATTCGAAAAATTACATAAAGTCTTGAAGAGACTAAATTGCTAAGAATTGTGCATGATTGTTATGTGTTGATAGCTTTGGTTGAACATATGGTTATTTTGTGAAGTAACATTGGAGGGAATAAAAAATGGAGAAATGTTATGAGGCATTAATTGTCACACCCCAAATCCGGGCATGACCGGCCGTGGCCCACAGGGACTTAGCCCAAGGCACACGTAAGCCTAAACACGAATCCAATCACATTGAACAACTGAACAATAG